AGTTGTCAGACATATGAACAACTTGTGTATATTCTCAAAACACATCAAACAAAAAAGATTAGACATATGAACAACATGTGAACCGTATGAACATCTTCTGTATATTCAGGAATCAACTCTGTTGTATGTACATGAACACCTACGAAGCTTGTGTTCACATGAATCACATATACTGTTCATATTCATGTGATGTGATTTTTCATATGTATCGATATGAACATCTATTGCCTTTGATATGTGTTCATTTAAACAAAATGAAATGTCATACTAGTCACTTACCAATAAGAACGCTTTGATCATCTTCTTCATTATCGGAATTCGAATTCCGACCTTAGTCGCAGACGATTTTAACTTTCTCATTTCCATTGTTGTCAATATGTTTTACAATAGGATTATCCATATTACTCGGACGATACATAAATCTCTTACACTTACAAAAACAATATCATCATATGTAGAACATCACTTGAAAATTACAATCATGAACACGTATGAAGATAAAATTCAGAATTACATCATGATCAATTAGTGAGATCTTTAAGATTTGTAACTCCCGATTAATTATTAGAGGCTTACATAAAGGTCAAATTACCTAATTACCCTTGTATTTAATATATGAGTTACATTTGAACATAAAGTAAAGATGGAATATGAATGGTTAGTCTTGGTTAGTATTTGAACCAAACTCTCTCTCTCTCTCTCTCTATATATATATATATATATATATATTGCTTAGTTGCACACATTTGCAACTATGTTTTGATTATATCAGGCATCATTGCGTTGTATTTCTATCTCTTCAGATCAATGATCCGTTCAACGGCCCTATGTAAATCGGATATTAATATATTGCAAATACAATGAACTTGAAAAGCAAATTAGTGATAGAATTGAGGTAACATTGTGATTAGATTCCATAAGTAAAGGAAAACAAAAACAAAAGTAAAGAGTTGATTAAAAATGAAACAAAATCATTAAGCAAGATTAAGCCTACTTAATGATGTCTTTTAAGTTTTCATTGGCTAGGAAGTGTTATCTTATTGAGTTAAGTCACCAGACAAAAAGGAAAAGCTTAATCATTAATCAACACCAACCACTTTTCACAACCAAAAGGAGATTTGCTTATTGTACTTCCTATCTTATCTTTGCCTTTTTTCTTTCATTTCCCTATTTATTTTTTTATTTATTTAAAAAATATAAAATCAAATCAAATCAAAGGGGACCAATATATTTTATTGAGATACAGGGTTTAACGAATTTGAAATATACACAGACTTGACCTATACTCCAAAAAGTAGAGTTATCAGGTTCATGTGATAGAACCACTCTTCGTGAGACTGGGATATGCTGTGAAGGTTCAAATACTGAATACGAAGGTTCGGTGTGTTTTTCATGTAAAAATCTGTTGTGATTTTCATGTTTTAAATCTGAAGGTTCAACTTTTTCAAGTAAAAGTTGTTTTTTTCATGTGAAAATTTAGTTACGTGAAGGTTCTGTGTTTTCTGCTGTTAATGTTCGACGAGATCAAAAATTTCCATTTAATGGCTCAGAGTGTGTCACAAAAACTGTTTTGTCTCAGATGATCTCAAGTATATATATTTTAATATGTTTTTCTCCAGGGCCGGTCCTAAGATTTTGATGCCCTGTGCGAAAATAATAAAAAATGTCTCTAAGCCTATTTTTTTAAGCTAGTGAAACAACGTAACATGCGATTTTTAAAGAGTTTAGTACCTATTCAAGCTAAGTGTATCATCCATATGTTGATTTTTATTAATTATATTAAAAATATACCATGGGGGGAATAAAAACCAAACCCCGAATACAAAATGTAGAATGATAAAATAATAAATCTCGGATTAAGATCGTGCTTCATTCTTTTCCATTTTTTTTCCTTTCCAAATTGAAATTAGCAAAATAGAAACTTTATTTCAATACATGAGACTTAAAAAACAAGGAAAACTGTAATTAGTTTTTAACTAAAATAGTAAATTACATCCAAATGATTATCATAGTAAGTAAAAAGTAAAACTCAAAAGTTACAGGTCTAACGACTAAAGGCTACGAGCCTATTTGTTAGCAGCTTAATAAGTTTAATGGAACTAACAACTTATTCGCTCAACTATGCATGACTGTTTCGTAGTGGCTTAATGATATAGAAAGTGACTTATCCAGTAAACTTATAGGGGGAGTTTTATATAGAAAGTCAAGTTTTTTTTCTTCCAAACATGTCATTTCCAACTAAAAAAACGCTCCTTACATCAGGGAAAAAAACTCTCCGAAACAAAAAAATTTCCAACTTATACAAACAGATTAATTCATACAGACAACTTTATTCATACAAACAACTTTATACAAACAAAAAAATTTCAAACATTTTCCAACGATGTGCATTCAGTATTCATCACTACTAGCCTTGGGCCTGCTTTTATAGTTAAAGCTCAGTTGTCCAATTCCCAAATTATTAAACCCAAAACTAGAAATAAATGACAATTTGATGCCCCTTTAGGCTTTGATGTCCTGTGCGGCTGCACGGGCTGCACGTGGCTAGAACCGGCCATGTTTTCCTCCGTTGTCCATTTTTAAAGTACATGATCACTTTTAACGAAGAAAGACATACTAATCTTAAAACCCAGAGCAATACGTTGTCTTAATAAATTCGAAATCAACTTAAAATCATCATTAAAGTTATTGACAACTCAGAACTTGAAATTTACAAGGTCACAATTTCTATCCATGCAGAACATGTCACACTCTTAGGGGCCGTTTACCTAAACACTTACCCGATAAACATTTACCAGTAAAATTCAACGCTATCACTTACCTTATCTAACAAGATTTTAGTCCATCAAAACGACATTGTATGTAAAAATCTACCCAGTAAGCACTAATCAGGTAAAAACCGTCATATTCACTAACCGGGTAAGACTCCCGATTCTTACTTTCACTCTTACCGGGTAAGATTTTTGGTCTTTGTTATAATCATTTGATTAGGTAAAGTAACTTGATAAATGCTTATTCGAGTAAACGTTTAGTAAACGACCCTTATTCTTTTCTATTTTAGAGGAATTATAGTTTACATAAGGAAAACTTAGTGAAGTCAATTTCAATTTTTTTGGGTGAAAAATATTTGACTTTTTTTTTTGGGTAAAACAATAATTGAGAACGAATTTTATTCTTTTAGTACAAATAATATCATTCGATAATACATTGGGCCAAACAAACACTTTATGCTGCAAAATAAAATATTATAATTAATATTATTTTAATTATTTGTTAATATATTTAAAAAATTATAGAAAGTCGAGTTATTTCAAAAACCTAGTTATCATTTTTCAAAACAAAACGAAAACATGTCACTGTTCATTGCAATTGACTTGAGATCATGTGAGATAAGAATGTTATTCGTGAGACACGATTTTTATTAGGTATGAGAATGGACCCTGACCCGTCGGGGAACCCGGATGGGGACGGGGATCCCCATTTGTCTCAATTGGGGATGGGGACGGGGACGGATATGGTACTCCCCGCCCCGTCCCGTACCCGTTATATATATATATATATATATATATATATATATATTATTTATTTCAACTAAAACGGTAATTCATAATTTCCTATTTCCTAACTAGGTTTATAATCTAAAATTGTTACTTTTTGGATATTAATATGTAATATTTTGGATATCAAGTCAAGATACAATTACTCGATAAGTTTTGTATATTACTCTATACGATTTTATATTACTCAATATCTTTTGGTACATGTGACTTTAAGTTTTTTTGGATTAAATTGACTTTTATTTTGTTTTAATTTATTAGTTCTTATATGATGTTGTGTTTTTTTGTATTAAATTAATTTCATTTTGGTTTTAGGTTTATTGAAAATGTTTCAGATTTAAACACGTATGGTCTTTCACTTATTTAATTCAAAATAAGTACATAAACGGAAAAAAAAAAATCCCCGTTTCCCCGTTGGGGATGGGGATGTGATTATAATCCCCGGTGGGAATGGGGACGGAGATAGAGATAAGTAATCAGGGACGGGGATCCCATTCCCATGCCTAATTTTTACACTCGAAACTTTACAGCAAAACTTACCTTCACAGTGTTTTTTTTTTATGAAGATTCGGCAGCCTTATCTCACGTGAACCCAACCCTGTTGCAATTCATATGTGTAGAAATTAATCAAACATAATGATGTTTTAATTTATTTATAATAAAAGAAATATATAATTAATTAACTAAAGAAGTATGATTTGGGCACATGGTTAGAGACAAGAAAGAACTTGATTACATTCTTTTGTTAATATTCTCTCAAAGTCTCATTCTTTTTATACAACTCCCCCTGCGACTTCCATAATCACATTTCGCTTCCCGGAGACAATTCCAGCCCCAAAACCTAAGACATGTTCAGCCCTCAATTCACCATACAAATACCACCTCATTTTGCTGAATCTCTTCAGCCACCTCCTCCTTCGTATCCCCCCTTCTTACCCATGAAGATTTTCAATCGGTTTCGTCGGATTTTTATGCGGTTTATGTTCTCGATCCCGTCTTCCAAGGCTACCGCGAGCTCTGGCGGTGGTTCGGGAGCTGTAAGGAGGCGATCGTGCGACCGCCCGGATCCTCCACGCGCTTCGTGTAACTCTTCTTCTTATTACTCGTCGAATACTCATTACAACGAAGCCATTGCGGATTGTATCGAGTTTTTTAATAAGTCGTCGTCGTCGTCGTCTTCGCCTTCGTTTTCGCGGGATGGTGGTAGGATGTCTGATGTTATGGTGTAAAGATGGTCCGAGTTTCTTGTTATTTGATGCGTTGTGATTATGAAATATATTGAATAATGAAAGATTCTGTGACCTTATATATATAGTTCTTGTTTTGGTGGGTCGGTTTTTTTTTCCTTGTAATAACTGTGAATGTTCGGGTCTGTTTGCATGCATCTGAACTAATTGTATGAGACCTTGAAAATAACAGTCACGAGTGGTCTTGATCATAAGACTTGGACCAACTCGTGGACGTAACTTTTATTTACCACTTGAGGTAACGCTCATAATTTCTTAACAAGTTCAAAAGCTTATTTTTATTAGTAATACTTAGAGGTTGTTTACCAAATACTTATTCAGGTAAGTACTTACCAACTCACATTACTTTACCGGATGAATACGGCAAGGATCAAGAATTTTACCCGTTAAGAGCGAGATAAGGACCAGGAGTCTTACCCGGTAAGTGAGGACGACGACTCATACCATGGTTAGCGTTTATCGGGTAAATTGTTGCATACGATGCCGTTTTTGTTCACTAAAATCTTACCTTGATAAGTAAATGATAGTGTTAATTTTAACGGTAAATGCTTACCGAGTAAGTGTTTGATAAACGACCCCTCACTCCACTTTAGGAATGTATATATAAATATATATAGAGTCGGCTTTACATAAAAATAATAACCAAATAAGATAATAAAAAGATGAATGAATTATAGGTGATTTTACACTAAAATCATGTGTAAAATCACATATGATACACACGACTTTGGCTGCGACATGAGATCGCGGGCCACGTCGCACGCACACCCCTGCCTTGATCATTAGTGTAAAATCACATGTTATTTTGCACGTGATTTTGGTCGTTTTCGTGTTATTTTATTTAGTTACCTTTATCATGTGAACCCCTCCCCCTCCCCTCTCTCTCTCTCTCTCTCTCTATATATATATATATATATATATCTCTCTCTCTCTCTCTCTCTATATATATATATATATATATATATATATATAGGGTTGAGTTTCAATAAAAATAAGAGTAATGATGAGATGAGAACAAACATTCTTATATCTTAATCTATCTTCAACTACTTTTATTTACCTATTTTTATTATCATAACTAAAACTTTAGCATATTCATATATGTGAAAAATGATTAAATGTGTGTAAAAGTTCGTGAAATTGACATAAAAGCGAATATAAGTTTGAAGAAAAAGGTAGATGAATATAGTAGAAGGTAATTGAAGGTACACAAATATAGTTAAGGGTACTGAAAAGAACAAAATTAAGTTAGCTTGAAAAGTCAACTCATCCAAATATTCAGACGCGCTCTCATCTTCTTACGGTAACTGTTATGCTCACATGCATGATCCCTCATGTGTGTGTGTGTGTATATATATGTAGGGTTGAGTTTCGTTGAGAATAAAGTTATGATGAGAAGTGTAAGAAGAGATCTCTACCCCTCAATCAATCCTATCCAAATGTCAACATTAATGAGGTGTACCGAGATGCACCAGATCAATTCTCTTGTAAAGCGCAATTCATGGGTGAGCATGAGACTAAAAGAAATCAAGAGTTCACATATCTTTTTACGCTTCTTAGCATGACTTCCCTTCTTAGACGATAATTTGCCTATATATTGTAACTGCTAAAGCTCCACAGACGTATTAGAAATGATAGTTTGGGACATACGTGAAGCCAACCAAATATTTGTAACTAATTTTTGTTTTATCAATTTGAATCTTTACTTAAAAAAAACTTATCAAAAGATACACGTTTCTGTATAGAAGCAAACTCTCCGAATTTATGACTTCCTTGTATCGTCCTTTCAAGTTCTTATGGCCCACGAAATGGAAATCCGTAAGATTCTTTGTATATATTTTCTGAAATAACCTAATGATAAGACTCATAAAAATATGGCATTGACGTGCACTACACTAAGAATCAACATGAAAAGTTTGTTATAAATTATCGGGATTTTATAGCCCTTATCACCATGGAGGAAAATCACACTATTCGGGGCCAGCGTAGGTAACATGTCATTTTCAGATGTAGTTAAAGGCAAAAGGGGGAAGATTTTACGGAATTCTTCTTGGTAAACAAGTCTATTATTCATGAAGTTTTATGATTGTCGTCGGGCCTTCATTTTCATTGCATCGATGTTTTTTATTCTACCAAACAAAGAGAAAAGATAAAACTAAGATAACCCCGATTTTAAACTTAAACATAAGAACAAGATTTCATTCTTGAACACACACACACACATACACACACACACACACACACATATATATATATATATATATATATATATATATATATATATAGGATTGAGTTATGTCCACCTTTCACATGTATTTGGTGCATAAATAATTCTTTATATAAGCCGTTACCCGATGCAAAAACGTTTAGGATGACAAAATAATAATTGTATTGTTATACTCTCTTCGTTTCAAATTAAATATTTATATATTTATATTTTAGTTTAATTCAAATTAAATGTCTATTTTTTAATTTTTTTACTCATTTAATCATTAAAGATAAAACAATCATTTAAGTAATTAAAAAGTATAATAATTATCTATTTTAAAAGTATATGGCTTTTCCATAACAAACATGTATCTTTGAACAAGAGAAGTATTTTCTTAAAAAATATCATAAAGAAGGAGCACTTAACAAAAATTAGGAGGTCTCAGGTTTAAATCGAACGACGAACAAAAAATCTCTTATGGTGTAACAGAGGTTCAAATATGGTGTGGATGGTCGTCTTAGGATTAGTCGGCTCGCATAGAGAGTTGAGTTTATGAAGAAAAAAAAACTTTATCAATCAATACATACAGATGAAATCTATATAGACAACTTTATTCTTACAAGACTTAATGAAAAACCAACCAAATAGCTATCCAGTTATATACACATGAGCCACAAATAAATATATAATTTAATTGTAAATCATAAATGAAACATTGAAATAATTTTTCATCTAAGAAACATCTAGAATTTATATTTGAACAAAATAAATATTTTTATAATAATTTTTTTTTATCATACATATTTGTATAAAATGACCAAATATGCAAAATTTGTTGTGATTTCCTTTTGTAGAAAGGGATTAATAGTGACTTGGGTTTCCAAAGCCCATCGACATATTATTTATTTGTAGGGGTGCTCAAAAACCCGACCAACCCGATCGATCCAACCCAACATGAAATAACTTAATCTGAAACAACTCGATGTCTAATCGAGTTGTAAAATTGTCAAACCGTAGGTATTGAGTTGATATTGGGTTGATATTATTTGAACCAAACCCAACCCGATGAACCCGATATCCTTTTATTTCTTGGATTTAATATGATTGTTGAATTTCTATTAATATGTACATTAGACAATTACACTATCATGTATGCTCTTCATATACATATATTTTCAATCTATTCACATCTTTATATAACTCATTCGTATATATGTTTAGTAACTATGAACATATATATGTAAATTGAGAAAATTAACTGAATGTGATATACGTAAGAAGTATGGATAAGTTGTATCAAATGGTTGATGATGAAAAAGAAATTATGAGTAGATAAATAACATATTCTAGGTTAGAAAAATATTGTAATGTACCAAAGTATCAACCCGTACGGGTTGGGTTAAGATTTTTCAAACCGTAAGCATTGGGTTGGGTTGTTCAAATGCCTTCAACCCGAACAACCCAACCCATGAGCACCTGTAGTTATTTATATTCATAAATCTTTACATCATTAGGAGGAAACGGTACATGCCAATGTTTGAAACGGAAAGTTTCATAAACACGAACAAGTTCATAATTAAAATGATGAAAAAGGTTTTTCCTTCTTCTGACATGTAAAGACGTTATCATATTTTGGCAAGTTTTTACAAACCTATGGATATATACATATATGTATGTATATAATCGTTAGGAACATGTTGGCTTACATCTGAATTGATTGTTGTATCCTCTAGACAAACGCCCGATCCATCGACAGAATTTTGTCTTAGGACACTGCGATAGTGCATACCCCTCAACCCGTTCTATTTTCACGAAGAATTTGCAATTCCAAGTAAGATTTACAGATTGTTTTGTTCGTTTATATATGTTCATTACATGGATATTGTGCAAGAATCTTTCATTTTTGTAAATTTATTACATAAATATATACATGTTTCTACTTTGTGATTGATTGCTCCTAACAGATTTGGTATCAATAACTAGAACGCTACACACTTTGTGCAAGTTGAAGGTTTTCACAAAAACAACCGATTTATTCTTCGGGGTGGAGGTCAGACCCAACTTTACTGGACTTGTTTGGTTTGGTTTAACTAGGAACCAAAATCCTTACTTTGTAAGAGGACCGAGAAGGTTTTCACGAGAAGATGCTTCACAAACTGGTACATAGGGCTGACAACGGGTAGGGTATGGGTAGGTAAGAGTTATTCCGTTATCCAATCCATTTAAAATAACGAATAACGAAACGAATAATTATCCATCTCATAAACCTATTATTTATATCCTACCTTACCCACTAAAATAGCGGATAACGAAACGGGTAATGAATAAATGGTAAAATATAATTTCATTTTGAACCATAAATAATATTATTAAACATGTAAAATATAACTTCATAAATATAGTAATTATTTTTACATCTAATTTGTAATAGTGAGCATTTAATATTATTTTAAATATAAGTCGGTTAGTTAGGCACTGGATCCCTTCGGACCGGAGAACGTGAATTCGAACACGCCACGTTTTACTGGGAAGGATCGAAATCTTTGCCGCAGCTTCAAGCCATAGTTCATATTTTAAAACTATATAAAAATTGTAAAACATACTCTTCGTTATTTTTATTTTTCCGACTTCGTCTTGTTTCTTATTTAATCACAATGAACTCGTTGAATCGATAAATAGAAAAAGTAAATTAAATTACACATTAATATATGACATATATGATAACCTTATAAAAATACTACAAAGTATATATTTAACTTAATATATTTGCGTGTGTGTATTAATATTTAACATTATAAAATTATACATACATACATATACTATATTATAAAACATTTGACAATAACTCTTAAAAACCATTTTTTATGCATAAAGTACTGTATATTGATGCATATTACTTAAAATTCAATATTACAAGTAAATTATGCATAAGTACAACTTCTTAAAGCTCGATGTTTGAATTTGTATTACTAACTACGGATAAAGATAATCAAATAGAGGATAAACATCTAATTTTAAAATAAAAAAAATCTAAAATATAATTAAGATAATTAATTAAGTTCTAACAAAATGATTATTTATTATCTTTATAAAAAAAATTATATAATCAAACCAAATATAAATTATTTTGTTATTGTACCTAAATTAAATTATAATAAATAAATTGAATTAAAAAATTACACAAAAAATGATGAATTTTAAATAGTTAATTTAATACTAATATTGATGTATTTTTGTCAAATTTTTATGATATCTTCAAATTTATATTTTATTCAAAATATAAAAACATCATCGTTTCTCAAAATCACATAAGATGATATTATAACATCGACTAAGATAAATAATAAAATAAAACATTAAAATCAAGATGTATCTCACTGCATTGTGTGAGTACCCTTCTAGTATATATATAAATTATACAACGGTGTCAAAGACTTGTTGCGTGCATCGTTAAACGCACAACAAAGTTAATTTTTATAAACAACTTAATCCAGTAAATGGGTAAGTTGGGTATCGTTCTTCTCAGGGAGTCACTAGTCAAACCAATTGACTACTAAAAATATGTCATTTAAGCTCAAAGACAACTAACTAAAAATCGAGACTCAGAAAGCACAGGCGAAGTAGACGTAAGATAAAAGGAAGTACTTGATGCGGGAGAGAAGGTAGAAAGACTAAAGGAAGGGGCAACAAAACTCAAAGGAGGACCACGAGCTCGGGGATCTCATAAAAACTTGCCCTAGAGAGATTTTATAAGCAGGAAGCGTAGGTAGAACTTGTGGAAGGAATAGACCTGTGAGAGCCCCCATCAGTCTAATTACAAACGACACTACTTCAAAGATTAGAAGTTCGGAAAGTTGAACTAAATCACAAAAAAGAAAAATTAAAAAACGAAACTTTTATGAAAACAAAAGTTAAGGTCATCCCTAATCATTAATCCCGAGTGTTCCCTAAACCCAACTGATTTCTTGATTTAACATAGCAATGTTTAAACGAACATAAATATGAACACTACAACAAGATCGGGTTTATAAGACACTTTTAATTTCTAAGCGTCCTAATAGACCTCTTTATAAGACTTAGTTTATAGGACCAAAAAAATAAAGCGTCATATCTAAAGACGTTGTAATAAGTTTATATGACGTTTTGACGTCGTAATAAGTTTTTTATGACACTTTTAATATAAACCGTCCCATTAGCAATTTTATGAGACACTATTTGAAAAACTGTCCTATAAAAAATTGAGTTTATGAGACACTTTCTCAAAAGTTAACTATAAAGCTGCTAATGCAACACTTTGTATTAAAAATGTCCTGAAATACTTGTTAAGACGTCCAAAAGCGTCATATAAACTTATTACAACATCTTTAGATATGACATTTTATATTTTGGTCCTATAAATTAAGTCTTATAAAGAGGTCTATTGAAACACTTAGAGATTGGGATGTCTTGTAAACTCAATTTTGTTGTAGTCTCAATGATAAAAATAAAGATTCTTTGAACCCCTCACCTCAACGATTAAGGTTCATGCCCTTTGCCACTATGCCGAAGCTTCTAATTGGTTAAAGTAGCATCATTATTTCTTTTACAACTCCTTTCCTGTCCAGCTTTGTTCTGTTAACTTCCACACCAGTTTCGGTTAAGATGCGGCTCGGTTTTGGAAAAACTCAAAACACGAAGACTGTACGCATGTCTGTTGGCTTTCTAGAAAACCTTGAATCGCTTAAATCGGAGCTGAGACGAATGAAATATGCTTGAAATACCACACCCTTGTAAATATGTCAATGATCGACGAGGAAATAAAGTAAAATTTAACGACCAATCAAAAGCACCCCACACTTAAAAATCCCTTTGTGACTACGGAGGTTCAAATGCGGTGACTCCGGCCACTATCTGCAAAGTAGGTGGTTGCCCTGGGATTAGTCGACTCACATAGCGGGTGGGTTGGATATACAGTTTAATAAATAAATAAATAAATAAAAAGTAAGAACGTCGTCCTTTCCATGTCGTCTTTTCCACTTTTAGTGATGGTGATGCCAAATCTCTTAGGTTCTACGATGTCGGGCTCACCTAAGTCTTCCAATACCATGATACATGATCCTGCCATCCAACCATTTGATAACTGCTTTGTATGCCAACCTCTCTACAATTCAGACTCGTCTTATGTGGTGGCTTTGTAATTGGGTGGGCATCAGATTTGGTAAGTTCTTGGGCTGTGCATATTAATGTATTATTTTTCTATTCAGGCTCATAACACTTATATTACAAGGGTGTTTGGGATTGCTTATGAAAACAACTTATTGACACCAGTAATAAGCACTTCTGAGTGTTTGGATAAACAACTTATATATACCGGTGCAAAACCGGTAATAACGAGTTTTTGAAGAAGTTAAATCATTCTAAGTTATAATAAGTTGATAAATACTTTTGTAGAAAAACATAAGTTGTTTCAAATAAGCAAAATCCCAAACACCCCATGGAGAATATTCAAGGAACACACATCATGTCCCTTTAAGGCTCGTAACACTTATATTAATTCCTTTTCGGGACCTTACGAGTAAAGAGCATTAATGCTGTAGCAACTTCCGTCCACTACTAGCAAACTGAGCATCACCAACGACCATTACCGATGACAATGAAACCGCACTTACGGCTTAAATCATTTCTTTATTTTTAAAAGCCTGTCGGTGAACTGCCAAAAAAATGTTACTAATTTCTGAGGGCTATTCGATGATCCCATTTAATTATTTAATTTTGAAACCCCCGTCATAATAACTGTGTTGAAATATTCCATCTTGGAAGGAAGATGGCTCTTTAAAAGCGTTCTATAAATTTATTGTAACGCCTTTAAATAAGATGCTTTATTTTTTGGCTCTATAAATCATGTCATATAAAATGGTCTATTAGGACGCTTATTTATTGGTGGCGTACTATAAACCCAATTTTTTTGTAGTAAAACTATCTGTTGTAGAAACAACGAAAACCCCCTTGAAGTTATTAAACGCATACCGTTCCAAAAAATGTGAGATTCATCATCATTAATATTAGAAACATTGATCTCACAGCTAACATAGAAGCATCAATCTGCATGGTACACCCTCTATACCTTGCTTGCAATGCTTCAAAAATCTTCACAGCTCCACACTTTGCAATGAGGCCATCACAGAATAAACCCTTTCATCTTCCTCGTTGAGCAGAAGCAGCGATTCCGTGTACGAATTCACAAACACAGAATCTTCGGTTGCGGAAATCTCAAGATCCTTGACGTGCTCCGAACAAGGTTCGTATACAGCAAACGTAGGCTGTACATAAGAAACCATCTTGCTTTTCTATCACAGGTTTGCCACTCTTGCTGAACCCCAGAGTCCTCTTTATCCTTGCATCTGGTGCTTTAATGGTGAATAGCTTAGTGAATGATTTTGGATCACCATGCTCCATCATCCATACACCACAAACTTGAAGCTCGGTTGTATTCGAACTGTATTCAAGCACAACAAGCGACTCCCTTAGCCTGGAGATGGTGAAAGCTAATTCAGGCTGGTGAAACAAACTACCAATATCAGCCAAACTATCTGGGAGCTGTATCTCACTGAACTCCTTCGTGCCCATATCGAATGACACGATCAGATTACGAAACTCTAATCGACCATCGTCCTCAAACCGATCGAAGGCAAACCAGTAGATAAACTGGCCTATAACTGCTGACGACCATGTGAATACAAGTGATTTACGAGGCAGATTACCACATAGACTTGTCCATTCTCCTGAGCTCAATGTAAACACCATAACTTGCCATGGGATGCAGCTTATTCTTGTTGACTTAACCCATATACTAATATATGAAACCCTGATAAGCATAGGGTCACCAGTGCCACGACAAACCCCAAAACCAATGACACTTGAAAATGGTTTTAACACATTGGGGACGACAACTGCAATCGATTTTCTAAGTGAAGGGTTCCACACAAGTGCCATGTCTGTTACGGCGTTGAGACACGAATCGCGTTGCTTTCGATGGTAACGACCGTAAAAGCACAACAAGCCGTGAGAACTATCGATTATTCTCGATTGATGAAGCTCTTCGAGGAGCGAAGGCACAGTCGGAGCGAACTTTTGGTGGGGGAAAGTGTCATCATCGACAAAACAAACACATTTCACCTCGGTTTCTTGCCGATCTTTGAGTTCGTACTTTATAGGCAGATGTCGCGGCTGAGTGTGCGGGATGGTGTAACCAGCAATGAACTCAGAGGAATCGATCAATGACTTCCATGCTTTGCACACCGATCTGAATTGAATCAATGATTTCACAGGAAGCCTTTTGATGATTTCTTGTTGGATTTCGAAACAGATGTAATCTGACATTTTGATTTTGGAGAATATAATCAGTAGTTTCGAGGGTTTTAATTATAAGAGGAGAGCGTAGTTTGAAGGGATGATAGGGATATGAGTTCAAGCTAGGGTTTTTATAAAGAGAGTTCAGTGTGAAAAGGAAGATTTGAGGCGGCCATTAATGGAGTTTTGCCCGTCGTAGGAAATGAGGCGGCCATATATGATTTCTTATTTTTTTTTTTTGATTTGAACCTGAGAACTCCAGACACTTTTGACATTTAAAGTCAAGTTCAAACCAATCAAACACCACTCTTATAATTAATAATAGATTTATTTGGGTTTTAGTTTTATTATTTTTAGGGGCGGATTTGGTAACTTACCAAGTTTTCCACTAACACATGTATCAAACAATTATAATTGATATATAAAATTATATATATATATATATATATATATATATATTTTGTAAGGGTGTCCGGACCAAAGCCCGACTAATCCCCGGCAAATTTGGAGGCTAAACATGGTCCCACTTAAATGTCGCCAACACTCACCTCCCAGGGCTCGAACTTGGGTTCATGACTATGTCATGCCCAAGCCTTTACCACTAGGCTGGAAGGTCTTTGACAAAAAAAATTATATATCTTGTATCAATCAAATGTGTGTTTATGCTTGGTATCGACTTAATTTTAGGTTTTTAAATAAAATAATTAAAGTTATAAGATTTAATATCTAAAATGAGGTTTAAACGAGAATGATATCTAAATAATAAAATAAGAAAAAGAATTTTAGTCAATTATTTATTTGAATCATATCTTAAATATTTTTTTAAATCATCCAAAAGGCTATATATATGATCTCATATATATATATATAGAGGAGCGATCAAATGAAAATCGCTTTCGTTTGTGTAAACCAATCTCATTCATCCATTTTCTTGATCAATGGTCAAGATTAGTTTAGGTTATATTAGAAAATTTAAAAAAATAAAAAATTATTTTATAATCCAAAAAAGAGCAAAATGGTAACTTTGTTAGTGGTAATATTAATGACAACCATATCATGTATATCGTAATATTAATGAAACAAAATCATTTGTAAAATAATATATTAATTTTATGTTCAAATATTATAAAAAAAATAACATCCATCATTAAAATAGTTCAACAATAAAAATAAAACACACTATAATCAATTTAATATAATGAAACCTTTTGAATAATAATAAAAATAAAAAATTACTACTACATTTCATGAACGAAATGGTTTCACAGTTTCATCAATACACAAATCAACGTAATGCTAGATGAGACATTTGTCATTTTCATGTTATTGGTAGATAGATCCGTTTCAATTTAATTATGAAATTGTTTCACTGTTCGCTAATTACACAATATTTTCTTAATAATTATGAAATAGTTTCATTTTCGTTATGCACCCATTTCATCGGCAAATTTTTTTCAATTCGAACACGTTTCATAGCGTCAATGCATTTACCATTACAGGTTTTGTTAACCATTAAGTGAACAAAATCATCCAAAGAAAATTAAAAAAAAAAATGAAACAATTTCATCAATAATGAAATTGTTTCACTGTTCGCTAATTACACAATATTTTCTTATCAATTATGAAATGGTTTCACTTTTGTTATGCACCCATTTCATCGGCAAATTTTTTTCAATCCGAACACTTTTCATAGCGTCAATGCATTTACCATTATAGGCTTTGTTAACCATTAAGTGAACAAAATCATCCAAAGAAAATTAAAAAACTGAAACAATTTCATCAGTAATGAAATTGTTTCACTGTTCGCTAATTACACAATGTTTTCTTATCAATTATGAAATGGTTTCACTTTCTTTATGCACCCATTTCATCAACCAATTTCTTCCAATACGAACATGTTTCATAGAGTCAATGCATTTACCATTACATGTTTTTTTAACCATTAAGTGAACAAAATCATCAAAAAAAAAATGAAACAATTTCATCGATAATTGTTGATAACAAAACAAGATTATGCAAGAATATTATATTACGCAACCAGTTAATCCCCAAAAGTTTCATAAAACAAGCTCCTCAATGAACGTTTTCACGAACCAATCTGCATACGTTTCATAAAACAATCTCCTCAATGAACGTTTTCATGAACAAATCTAACATAAATCTGTTTCACATCTGATTATATTTTTATCGGTTCATGAATTTTTGTTTGGATCTGTTACTGATTTAGTGGATTAATGAATATAATAATTTTCGATTTTTATATTATTACCACTAGTAAACCGAGAAACCAAATAACAATATTCAATTTTTCAAATTCTAATTTAAATATTATTATTTATAAAATTTTCTTTATTATGTTACCTTAATTAAGATATATTAATAACTTCCATATTTAATAGAAAACAATGTAAATGACAAATCTATCCTTAATGATTAAATTTAATTAAGAAAAAAAGAAAATTTTCTATTGGTCAAAATTAGTTTATACGGTTTTCATTTAATCCCACTTATATATATATATATACTAGTTGTGTACCCGCGCAATACGGAGGGAGCCATGAATTTTAACAATTTTGAAGTTCCACTGGCTTTATAAGATAAGATTTAACGATGATGGTTACACTTGGTCTTTACATATTAATACAATTTGAATAAATAAGAGTCATGGTTCCAATTACAGACTATCGATGAAAAAAATTGTATGACAGTTTAAAATATAATATATTTAAAATCCAACATATTTAAACGACTCCACAAGTGTATTCGATTTACACAAAGAGCAAAGAACCAAAAAAACTTGAGTTTTAAAATAAACACTCAAAATCAATAAAGAAAACTATAAATTTGACAGATCATTAGCCATGAAAAGACAAAAAAGATGGGTTTTAGAATGCAATTTCAACTGTTTACCCTCTTTCTTGTCCAGAAACTCAGATTAAGGTTGAATTAATACATGTATATATATATTTCAAAAAAACCTAAGAACGTATTAATTCAAAATATATTATACAGTGCAATTTAGACAGCATAACCCCAAAATATATAGTATATATATAAATAAATAACTATAAAAGTATAAATCGTAAATATTAAAAATATTTTTTCACATTATATATAATATATAATAATATAATTAAGTCAAAAACTATTTAATATTGGACTCATTTCGAAGGTATTAACGAGACGATTATAATTGTGTAAGTAAAATAACAATGTATTTTTTAAACATTTTCTAATTGATATACGATTATATATGTTAATTTGACAAAGGTTTAAAATGAAACATTTAAAATTAAAGAACGTAAAGTACATTAATTAATTAAATATAGGGGTATAAAGTGTAAATTTAAAATTATAATTTTAAAAAAATCGGTTGTGAGAGGATGAGTGTATGTGATGAAGTGAGTCTATGTGAAGAGAGGTGGGGATGAAAAAGTGAAAAAGTAAAAAAGTGAAAAAGTGAATATAAAAAGGGTTGATATTGATAGCCCCTTACTCATTTTTCACCCCCTCCCCTCACATACTCTCCTTCTCACATACTCACCCCTCTCACATTCAACCAAATTTTAAAATTAAAATATTAAATTTATATTTTATATCTTTATAATTAGTTAATTAATTTACTTTACGTCATTTATTTTTAAATGTTTCATTTTAAACCTTTATCAAATTAACATATATAATCATATATCAATTCAAACATGTTTAAAAAATACAATTTTATTTTAACAAATTACACCATTATAATCGTCTCGTTAATACCTTCAAAACGAGTCCAATATTGAATAGTTTTTTACTTAATTATATTATTATATATTATGAAAAAATATTTTTAATATTTACGATTTATACTTTTTATAGTTATTTGTTTAATTTATGATACATCATTTATTTTACATCATTATCACATTAAAATAC